TTGGCCGGCATACAAATTTTTTTGTTCCGTAATTGTTTTTATTAGGTCGTCATCTAAAAACTTCTCTAAATAAAACACAGGAACTTTTTTTAAAGGAGTATTGAACGTTTTTCCCAGCTGTACAGTGAAGGGAAATGGTGGTCTCTCGGCATTTTGAGGCACCCATTCTTCACTAATGTGTCTAACACTAACTTCTTCATCATCTTCACTCTCAATGTCGCTCAAATCTGTGTCATAGTCATGACCACTATAAGAGGATTCCGATGAGGAACTCATTATACGTCTCCTTCTTTTACTTGCCGGTATATTTATTTCGTCATCGCTGATATCGCTCTCACTCATTTTGATGGTAACTAAAAAAATAAAAATATATATATATATATAAAAAGTTGGAAATATAAATAAAATATAATACGAAACATTTTTCATAGCCATTGTATTTATTTGTAAGGATTTAATTGTAAAATAAATAATAATAGTGCAAGTACGTACCCGTCACTGTATCACTGCTCACACGAAACACGCCTTATCACTCGCGGTAGCGAAATCATACTGAATCCATTCGCGTATTAATTTCAAGTCAAGACAGGTATGAATGACGTATTACCATAGTAGTAGTAAATTATAAGTCCCGCCCGTTCCAGGGCGCAATATAAATATCGAGGACGTATTCATATGTCCTACCCGTACCCGATATTGTTTACTTTTGACGTATTTATACGTCCCGCTCGGTTAACAGGTTAAGAAAATTGATAATAAAGTAGTTAGGATCAACCGAAAATTCTGAAAATTAATAGGGTTCTAAGTTAGAAGTAATTATTCAAGAAAATCAAAACCGTAAGTTAATCAGAACTTTCGTTTTAGAGTTATTGTGCCGGCATACACACAGACGACTAGACGAAAAATTTGTTTTTATATTTTCGCACTCAGAATGATCGGAAACATGAAAAAAAGTTTTTAAAAATAGGGGTAAGAAATTTTTTTCGTCTGCACGAATGCAATACTGAGGCCCCATAGGAAGGGCCTCAGTAAAAATTAGCAAATCGGTTTACAAACAGAAGAGTACTTAACTATTTTGTCTTTGCCTATTGATATTGCCTATTGATAATCAAATGAAAGAAATAAAATCATTGTTATGGAAGAAGTTGGTATTACGAAAAAATGTTCGGATAGGTCAATTTTGTTTACTTAAAGCGCAATTTTTTAAAAAGAATTCAAGTTTACCCCATTTAACATTTTTTGGAAGTGACGTAATTGATAATTTTTTTGAATAGTAATTTTAATTTTTTTTCTTGATTTTGATAGATCTTGCAATTTCCTATTTGGCAACATAATATTTTCATTATTTTACATAACAATTTTTTTGATTAAAAGTCATTTAAAGATCAGACAAAAATTGTATTTTATTTTGAGAACACAATAAACACACAAAAATTCATAAATATTCTAATAAATTAGGTGTTCAAAATCTCCTCCACCGACGTCTTGTCTCTTTATGGTGATAATAAAAGGAATACATTCATTATTTCGTAAACAAGGGGAAAAAATTCTAAAACCCGTCGATTTTAATTTTTAAACGGGCGCTTCGTCAGGATATTTTTTTATTTTTGACGACATATATGTGAGCGTGATGACGTCATCAATAAAATTTTCAAATGAAAATGTTTGTGATATTATACATCATTTGAAAGGTCTTTAAAATATCTATTCAGCCATATCAATTGTCTAAGTAATTTAGTTTTGTATATTGTTAAAAAAATTATTTTTTTATTATTTTTAAATCTTATCAACTTTGCTACCTTGACATTCAACTTAATTCCCTTTCTATCAAGTGGTTAATAGTATTGTGGTGAACGTTTTCATAAAGTTTTTGTATTTATCAACATGAAGCTGACTGAAACGCAAAGAATTAAAGTTTTAATATAGATTGGTTGTGGAGATAAAACACGTACGCAGAAAGATGAATGTACGATATTTAATAATAAATACCCAAACTTAGAACCAATATCACAATCAACTGTTAATAAAATTGAGAAAAAATTCAGAGAAACGGGTCATCCGAAAGACATCACTAAAGGTGGTAGAAAACTAATTTCCAAAAACAAAAAATTAAATGTTCTGTTATTCTTTGAAGATAATCCCCATACCAGTTCACGGCAAGTAGTATTAGATAATCACCTGGAAAATTCAACAGTTCTTAGAACGCTAAAAAAGCAAAAGTGGCATACTTACAAAGTTATTTTAGTGCAAGGACTTATGGAAGATGATTTTGATAAACGAGTTGAATTCTATGAAATTTAATGGACAAAAACAACAGATATCCAATATTTTTAAAAATGTACCTACCGTTCTCCGATGAACTTACATTTTTACTAAACAGTCATGTCAATCGTCAGACTTCTCGGTATTGGCCTTCCGAAAATCCACACTGGATGCAAGAGTACCATACTCAGTACCCAGAGAAAATTAATGTTTGGGCGGGAATAATAGTTAATAAGACTATTGGGCAATACTTTATAAAAGAAACCTTAACAGGTCCTCGATATTTAGAATTTTTTTAAAACTTCTTGATTCCCGAATTGAACCGATTGTTCCCATACAAAAATGATTTGTGGCTACAGCTACAGCCTCCACACTATGCTGTCTTGGTGCAAAACTACTTGGACAACATCTTCATAAATCGGTGGATAGGTCGAAGAGGATCAATAGAATGGCCTCCCAGGTCACCCTATTCAACTCCTCTTAATTTATTTTTATAAGGATTCTTGAAAAGTAAAGTGTACCAAAATAGACCACAAAATATCAATGATCTCAAAGAACGAATACGTGTTCAGATTGCAAACATAATTCCGGAAATTTTGGAGATAGTCCAAGAAGAGATCGCTGCACGTCTTTCTCATTGTATTTTAGCTGAGAGTTAAGAATTTGAGCACTTAATATAGATTTGGTTGTATTTAATGAATAATACTAATATTTATTGCAATAATAAAAGGCAAGACGTCGGTGAAGGATATTTTGAATACCTAATTTATTAGAAAATTCCACACCTGTAATTTTGAACCAATCAAAATACGTGTTTTTGACAGATCACCATGGCAACGGAGGTATTTTAGTGGAATTTTTTTTCTCGTGGGGTACCCAACAGCGAATTATACTGGAAATTTTTTGACGTTTACAATAACAGACCATTTTTGACAGACTGGTTTTTATTTGTTTACATAATAGGTTTAGTTTTGATACATTTTAGTTACAATGCTAAGGTGTTTTCTATATTCTTCGGCCACTTCTTTTCTTCTTAATGGCGAAAATGCAGGACTTTGGATGCTTTGAATTATGTGTCTATGTCTAATAAAATATATATAATATTTAGACACTAATTTATTCACCTTTTTCCCATTCAGCACTTTGAATTTTACGTAGTTTAGGTGCAAATATTCGTGGACAATTCGGAACAAATTTTCGTTTTTCAAGTTGGAGCCACAATCCTCTATTAATCCGAGTAAGTAAGTCATGGTGCAATGATTGATCATTACATCAGACAATTTCACGCATATTTTGCATAGCGTATGATTTTCAAATCGATTCATTTTTAAAGAAATAGGTAATTTTGTTGGTTTTACTTGCTGTGCAATATTCTTTATCGCAACAAAACGCGAGTTATTTAATGTTTTGAACTGTCAAAATACAATGATCACAGCCTCCTACGATTGATGCTTGCTGACGCTGGTTATGAATTTCATACCATTTTAAAGCGCTCATAACGCATGTTAATAAAAACGCAGAAAAACAATTTTCTACCACTTGTAGTTATTCAAAACTTACGTAAAATTAAAGAATATACTATTTTCTATTTTCAAATGGTATCCCATGCAACTACAATGAGTAGAAATAAGCAATTTGAAGGCCTAAATAATTGCAGCGAAACATTTTTTTACGTCGGGCCGCTTGACACTTAGTTACCATGACAACTCAACAATCAAGGCGACAACACCTTTTATGTTTCACTGGTGACTTGGAGAAAATAATTTGCATTGTTGAGAAACGAAAAATAAATTTTAAAAATATTTAATTTTCAACCATAATTCAGCGTGGAATTTTCTTACCGAATACCACGCGAGGTCAAATTAATATCAGGAAATTTTTTGACCTCTAGTGGTATTACTAGTGAATATTTCTAAATTATTTTGCTGTGAAATTATCATTAAATTGTTTTCTATTATTATTATTACTATTATTTTGTTAGATTAAGCACTTAATTTCAAATTTATGTTTAGAAAATTGCAAGATTATCAAAACCAAGAAAAAATTGGGGTTATTATTATCATTAAAATTGTCAATAGCGTCACTATCCAAAAATTAAAAGTGGGGGAAACTTGAATTCTTTTTAAAAAACTGTGCTTTTAGTAAATAAAATTGATCTGTCCGAGCATTCTATCGAAAAATCAAGTACTTCCATTATAATGAATTTATTCCATTCATTTGAACCATACTGTATATAGATTATGTATTTACTTTTTGATATACTCATATATTTATTTATTATTATTATTATTATTATTATTATATATAATATTGCTCTAGTAATTATATTACCAAAATAAAATAGAGTGTACTTTTAATACTATTTTTATTAGAATCTGTGATCATTATATAGAACTACATTTATAAAAAAAATGAGACAAATAACAGAAAATATACATTATTTGAAGAACGTTTCAATTTTTCAATTTAATCAAGTTTACGTAACTAATGAATTGAAAGCAACGTCAATAGTTAATTGGCTAGAACTGGGTCACAACACTGGTCTAAAGTCTGGAACAAAATATGAAGGAACGTGTTTCAATTAACTGATTTTTTGATGTAAAAAACAAGTGTTCATAAGGATACATTAATTAATTAAATGGGACTGAAAGAAATTGAAATGCAATTAGAAACAAGCATTTATAAATTATTAACACAAGCAGCAGAAGATCAATAAGAATAAATTCAATCAAACTTACAGCGTATCCCTTTGCAGACACCGTTCTTCCTTCCATTTCTCTAACATCATCCTCTTCTTCATCATCATCTTCATCTTCACTATCAGATATTGCTGCTGTAACTGGTTTTTCATTAACGTCATTTTTCGTATCTTCTTTTTCGCTTACCGAACTAGGCGCAACTTTATCTTCATTTGAAACTTTAGGGGAATGCACTGGAGTTACTTGAATTACGACGGCATTGAGGTTAGCTCCGTCGTCTATTGCTGGGTGTTCTATTTTTGTGGCGTGTATTTTATTCGATTCTTGGGCGGATAGGTTTCCATTTGTTTCGATGGATGATTGATTTGGTACATTACTTGTGGAAGATTTGCTACTAACGGGTGATGGAAATGGAGACGTGCATTGATTTTCGTTCGTTTCATTATCTGTAATTTTCTAAAAAAAAAAATCTGATTACTATACGTTCTTTATATTTAAAAATAAAGAAAAGGCTATAATGTGTAAGTATCCATTATTTTGATTTGTCCGCTTTGCACTAAAAAAAATTCAGCGTTAAATTTTTTCATCCAAAACCAAATAAACACCGATATTCATTTCGCCTCTATATTACGTCACTGCGTCATTGTGAACTTCCAAGGTAGCATTTTTTGGGACTTTGCTTTTTTGTAGTTTCTATGTCTTTAAATAAACGAACTGGTTTAAATAATGGCGTTTTAAAGACCATTTGAACCTGAAGAAATTACTAACAATAATTTAAAGGTTTAAGCAGTTAATAGAGAGTTATTGCAAGTTCACTTAAAGTCAGTTACTATTAGCGCCGCTCATATTTTGACATCTGAGCATGCGCAGATCGTTTAAGTTCTAGAACTGACCTCACTTTATTTAAGATTGTGCATGTCCTTAGTTGTGGAAGTTTAAGAGCAGCAGATAGTGGCGACTTCTTTCGGGTGCGCTCGCCGATATTCGTATATTTTTTAATATTGAAAATTTAATATTATCATCTTCTAAACCTTCTAAGATGGAAATTTATAAAGCCTCTTTAATATTATGTAATATAAAAAACAAAAAAGATTAACTGTAATTTAATTTTTTTTTATATGAAGTTAGAAGTGTATGTAAAGACAAGGACTCTAATATCAAAACTTTGGGTCTTAATTTAGCATGGAATTTATTTGCCTCTAATTACGTTGTCACTATTAATGGCCGAAGTTGAAGAAATTTGTAATATCTCTCTATCAATAACAATAACTTGGAGGTTCAAGCAGTTAATAATAGCAATGACTCAGAGGGTAATTAAATAAATATATAATAATACAGTTGTTTAGACCTTGGATATGTTAATGTTTGGAAAATTATTTAAAAAAAATTAAGAAATTAAAGGTTTTTTTTCTCTATAGATACCGAATCAGTTACCCCCGAAAAATGTTGGAAGATGGATTTCATTAAGTATCGTAAGTTATTGTTGCAGTTGCTATAGTTGTGTATTAAATTGATTTTAAATTTTATCATTTTGAAAATAAATCAGTTTGGTTTTACTGCTGCAAGTTTTAGTTTCAAATGAGAACGTAATCTACTAAAATCCAATAGGTTTTATGCCCATGCTTCTTATCTGTGCCTAAGAATTGAAAGAAAGTAATAAATTTTCATTATTACAAGAAAAAAGAATTCTTGACACTTTGGTGACGCATAGCAGTTAAAAGTTTTGAAAACTTTTTGAAAATGTCCTAGAGCGAAATATCTGGTAGAATCGTAACATTTAATGGTTCAAATTTCCTACTATGGAAACTCAGCAAATGAAATTAAACTGTGAGAAAAGAAAAATAATCAAGTAATGGTTATTTTTTATCTTCTATCCACGAAAACCATCTGATTTTTCTTGTCAATTGTCAGACCGCAGCTAAAATGTGGCTAAAACTGATTACATTTCATGAACAGAAGTTAGAGGCTTTAAAACACATTATTTACCACAAGTTCTATGAAATTAAGATATCTTCTAAGCAAAAGGTATCCAACTAAAGGATAAGGGAAAAGTATCCGAAGTAGCAGTCATTTCAAAAAATTTAAATAGCTTACCATCTACCTTTGCTGTACTCATCACAGTATGGGATTTGATTAATTCGGCTAAGCAATCATTATCAGATCTTAGTGCAAGATTATTTAAAAAAGAATAAATGATATTAGTATAAGAATTAAAAGAAGATAAATTAGCACTTCAGATACAATCTCTGAAAATTAAACCAAGTCAAAAAGAAAAAATAACATTCTGGAGTTAAAACCAAAAACAAATTGCAAACAAAATGGCCACTGGTGATGTAAATGTCCAAAACGTATTTCCAGTGTCCAGGAAGAAAACATTTCAAATCCGAATAAAAAACATCAAGAAGCTCTCTCATGTGAGAGTTTTATTCTTTAAAATCATTGACGACCAAGATATATGGTTAGTTGACCTCAGGAGCCAGTACTTATACTGCAAGGGTATATATTCTTTAGAAAACTTCACACTGAAGTTAATATTTAGGTTACTGATGATAAAATCTTTAAACCCGAGTAAAATTCTACGTAGAAGGCTAATGGAGAGAAAATAGATTTTATATACTCATAATCTTAAAAGAAATCTGCTATTAGTTGTGACAATACTGAAGGTGAGCTATCGTGTGTAGGAATTAGACAAAACAATGTATTTAAGTTGTTGATTGTTATAAGTAGGTAAACCTTTACAATGCAACTACTCCTCACAACAGTCTTAAATGAAATATTAGGCCATATTAATGTAAGCTACATTAAAAATACACTTTAAAAAGAAGCCCTTGAAGGACTGTACATAGAAGATAATATTTTTTTTGTATGGATGGTAGTGTACGAAAAGTTTGAAGCTATAGAACGAAGACAGCGATAATTTTAATAAAATTTTAAAATGTGACATGATTATAGAACAGTGGTGTAAGGACCATTTACTATCTATTACTCACAAGAAGACAGGATTGGTCCTTTTCACAACAAAAAGAATGCAAATGGAACTAAAACCTCCAGAGCTCCTAAACACAAAACTAAACTTTGCAATAGAGGTAAAGTACCTAGGTCTCACCTTTGGTAGCAAGTAAATATGGCATTCACATCTAGAAAATAGAGTTAAACAAGCATACACTGCTTATGAACAATGCCGCCAAACTGTGGGGCGCACCTGGGATATCTCCCCCAGAGTCATCATTTAGACAGGACCATGAATTATAAGATATATGCTAACATACAGTGCAGTTGTTTGCGTATTGAAAACCCAACAATTGACAGCTATCCGCAAACAAGAAAAAAAAGTCATTCTTAGTCTCACTCCTTTTTTTAAATAAAGGTACTACACCAACATTTTTAAACTCTCGCAGTCAAACACTAATAGATATCACTTTATCTACAAACGGTATCTATAAATCAATTCTAAATTAACACCGCGCTTAACATTCAAAATAAACTTGATGTTGCCGACCTCCACGCTATCTCGGAACCCTAGAAAGATGGACAGGGCAATCTATGTCCACCTTCTCCAAGAGGCTCTGAGAGAGATGGAGGCCATATAGAAAAAACAACAGAAAAAGTTGTTAGAATACTATGGGCCTGTAGACGGATGGTAGGGAACATATGAGGGATTAAACCAAGTATGATGCACTGGCTTTACACTATGGTTGTAGTTCCTGTTATAACTTACTCATCAGTCATATGGTGGCACAAGACTAAAAGAATAACAACTAACAGAAAATTAGACAAGGTGCAAAGACTAGCCTGTCTAATAATAACAGGGGCATTTAGAACTACGCCTACAGCAGCAATGGAGCTACTACTAGGTCTTTCTGCACTACACCTTGTGGTGGAGAAGGAGGCTATGGCGGCGGTTTACTAATGGATTTGGATGGGATGTTTCGAGAAAAGGACACCACACAATGACATTAGAGAAATTAAAATAAAATCTACTAAGAATGCCATCGGATAGAACGCCCATTATTCACGACTTCAGAAAACCTTTCGATATTCAAATACTAGAAAGGGCCAAAAGCCGGGAAAATAGGGAAAAACAAAACGAATCAATCTGGTATATAGACGGTTTGAAAAACAGCACAGGAGCTGGGATCTACCATGTGAACTCAGGGAGGACAATTAGTCTGAACCTGGGGTCACTGACAACAGTCTTCCAGGCTGAAGTAACAGCTATAAATACATGCGCCAAAGTCATGTTAAATGACTCTTTTAGAGAGAAGTACAATCTGAACAGCATGCATGCAGTAGCGGGTCCAAGTAATTCACAAAGAAAGCGAAAAATTCATCCAAACGATGAAAAACAGATGGTCTGTAGCGTAGATGATGATTTAATAAATACACTTCCGACAATGCAAGCCTTAGACCGCTGTTCATTTTTAACGAGAGTATCCGTGGCGACAATTGAACGCTTCGTACGTGAAAAGAAGGTGACTGGGACTGTGCAAGCTCCACAAGTAAATTGTCGTGGTCGAAAAAAAAATTAAATTGGACAAGCACTAGAAAACTATGGTACGCACGACTATTCATTCTTTTTTTTTTTTTGAAAACAATTGCCAACCATGGAATCCGTTAGAAGGAAATTATTGGAAAATGATCCCGTTTCACAAATAATCCGAGATATATTAAGGGCCGATCTTTTCACCTCTGAGTAAAGTTACATGTAGGTTTACTTGACAGATTAACGAACAATATCCCTTTAGTTATTTTAGCAAGTAGTAACTTTCAACTTTACTTAGAGGTGAAAAGATTGACCCTAAGAAAAATAGTACACGAGTTAAAGTTTCGATATGCAAGACGATCTCGTAACTCTGTTTTAATGGAAGGAGAAGTTTCATGGCGACGAAAATATCTTCGCTCTATAAGGGAACATCGTTTGGCAAACAAGACAATATTATCTGGATAGAACATGGGTGAATGCTGGTCACACAGTATATAAGATCTGGGAAGATATTACGGTAACAAGTTATCGACAAGCATTTGTGGAAGGTCTATCAAGAGGATTACGAGGACCAACTGGAAAAGGATAACGACTAATTGTCGCACATATAGGTAGTAAAAGTGGTTTTTTAAACGACAGTGCTTTAGTTTTCTTATCTAAAAAGGGGGGGATTATCACGAAGAAATGGACGCTCAACGATTTAAAGGTTGGTTTGAAACCCTACTTTTATGGATCAAGCCAAATTCAGTGATAGTGCTTGATAACGCTTTTTATCACAGCCGCTTAGTGGAACGTCTACTAATTTTTGATTTATCTTATGTTATAAATAATCTAAGTATTTTTTTTTACTTTTAAATTTATTGATTATTAGATGGCCATACTTTTTTAATTCGTATCAATATTTTAAGTTACATTTTGTTCTGTATTTAAATTTAAATGCACTTTTTATTTTCCCTGTATACCACTAAATATTTTACAAATTTTATTCTTCATTATTGCATTATTGATTTATTATAGCAGAACTTTTTACAAATATTTTTTGTAAAATTGATAATAAAAATTCCCATTTCTTGTCAACTTTTTCAGACATTTCATACGAAAAAGATTAAACAGTATTTAACGTCAATCAATAAAATCGTGTTAATTAAAGCTTATTCAATATTAGCATTTTATCGCGAATCATTGTTACGCCGCTGCATAGGAGGATTATGGGAAATTCTAGATTCTTTGTTTTCTGCCGACCATAATCCTTTGATGAGTTACCATCATTTAAAAATTGTAATAGTTAGTAAATCTTAAAAAAAAAAGAATGTACTCCAGAGTATTACTCATTTAATCAATTAATTAATAACTAGAGGACATACTACAGGGTAGTTCATTTATGCGGAAATGATTAAAAATATATAATTTTGCAAAATACAAGTTTTGCCATAGAGAAGATACATAGAGAGTACATAGAGAGTATTTAAATATTAATACAAATACATCAATGTTTCATTGGTTAATGGCACTAAAATTCGATTTATTTTTTCCGGAATTGTTTTGAGTCAGTTCTAAGTTTATTTTTAAGCTCATAATTGCTAAACGCTGCAACTTTTTTTGTAAACTACCTACCCAAGTAACATTTTTAGATTTATCAAAGTACACAATATAACCATAAAACCCTTTTTTAAGACACTGATGAAACATTTGAATCCGCGAGATAGCCTTAGAGCTGCTATAAATCTGCTTTAAGAGTAAAAGGGAGAATCCTATAACGGTTTTTAGGAGTATTTTTAAAACAATATCTTAAAATTAATTAGACCTAAGTCAAAGTCCGTAAGAGTATATTAGGAATTTTATTAATCCATTTTTAAATATTTTTTAAGATTATGATAATAAGTGGGATAAGCATAAAAACTTTACAAAACTAAGCAGTTTTAAGAGAATTAAATTTTAATCTGTTTTATTATTTTATTTACTCTATAAACAAGTCATTAAAAATATAAAAATTAGTAATAATATATTAACCATTTTTCTCTTTTAGTGATCATTTCTGGAATATTAGGAGCCTCGGAATGTTTCTTTTTTATATGTTAAACAATGGCACACAATGAATTTATTAAACACTGATGAGAAGAAGAAACATATGTTATGTTATGTTGGGAATGGGGTGTTAATACACTGCGACCTAAAAGATCTGTTGTGCCCCCTTCTGTCGCCAATGCACTAAGGAAATGTCTCAATGCCTATAACGACCCTTCCAATCCTATTTTCTCAAGGAAGTGTAGGATTTGAAGTGGCTTCAAATTAGGTGAATCTCCCTCTTCTATTTAATATCCTCCTAGATATAGTGCCCTTGGATTCTAAAGTGCTACACATTCAGTTAGGATGTGAATAGAGGCTTCGTTCTCCTCCTCACAGAATCTGCATTCACTATCCTCTACTACTCTCAGTTTACTTAGGTGTCATTTTAGTCGGCAATGCCCGGTACGGATCCCTGTTACAATACGTAGCCTGTTCTTGCTGAGGCAGATGCAGGCTTCTGATCTTTTCTGGTTATATTCACCCAGAAGTATCTTGGCCTGTCTCAGCCCCAAGAGATTGTTCCAATTATCGGAGAAACATATACTTATCATTTAATTTTTTTCATTCTCTATGGAAATTACCACTTTTCTTTATTTTGAGCAATTTATTTTTCAACATCGACATAATGTGATTAGGTTGAAAAGTTAGGTTATGCTCTAAAACAAACTTTAGTTCTTATTAAAACTATGTAGTTTTAATGGAACCCTATCGTTTACTAGATTAAATAAATTATAAGATTTATGTTGTAAAATTGTAGAAAATGTACCTAAAAGGTTCTGGGATCAATTTAATTTAAAATATAATCCTAAAACACTCTTTAAAATTAAGTTTTAAAACCTACTCAAGATAACTGCTAAAAAGTATGCCTCATTAACACTAAACACACCTTAGGAGTATCTTCAAACTATAGTTCTAAAATTATTTATTAACTAACTCTTACAGGTCAGCGATAAAGCAGAGTTAGGATAAACTAGTTTTCTTAAACAGATTTAAAGGAATCTATAAAACCAAGTAATAAGATCAATTTATCCTGCAGTCCTATTATCAAAAAAAATAACTGTCACAAAATAATTATTAATTTTTATGCCTTTACAAAACTCTAATAAAACATAATTAAAACTTCTTTCTCCTAAAAATGTTACTTGGGTAGGATAACTTGCAAGAAATGCTAATTTCGTGCGGCTCATGCTGCAAACATCATATTCGTAGGAATTGAGTAGGTATTTCTTGCTCGTTAAACAACTACTTTTGATATGTGGATGTACCTATATTATTTTAGTGTGAGTAGTTATTTTATGCTTTAAATGCTTACAATGATATTCAAAACCCACAGCAAAAAACCAGTTAGTACAAAAAAAAATTAGTTCCAACACTCATTTATTTCTGTTTGTTACTTTTACCTTACCCCGTAGATAAAAAAAAAAACAGATAATTCTAGATACTTACCCAAGGAATAAGGGATTGTATAACGAAAGTGACCGGATTAGTGGCATTTCGAATGGCCTGGACAGCTTTTTCATGACTTGCTTCTCTTAAATCGATTCCGCTCACTTCCAGTATTCTGTCGCCAGTCTGCAATAAGAATTACAGGTACACGTGTTGAATTCGAATAGTTATTTATAACGCTTAATTGTCGATTTGTATAAAGAAACATTGATTTATTTTTCTTTACGGTGACAACATAGAAAGGGTAATGCATTTTCATAGACATTCAAGGCTTGTCGCAAGTTATCTAAATTTTGAAATGTTCTCAATATAAAAGTAGTTAGTGCTTTCAACGTTTTTTATTTGTCTAAAGTTTCGGGTATAATCCAGATCTAATTGCTAACTTGTCGGTTGCAGTAAGTTAGTGCAACTTGGAAGTTTCCCAACACGTGGATCGACTGCAAACCCGAATATGCTTTGAAAATGTTCATATACCTACATGTCTTAAGTTGGTATACGTAATGACTAATGATTTGCAATTTATATAAAGGAGAATTTGAAATTTAGATCTAAAAGGCTATGATGGAATTTCCCATTTTCAAGTAAAAGTTTTGTGTAGGTATTTGTAAATATTGATTTTTAAATTTGGATCTTTTAAATCATGAACCGAACTCTACACGTATTTATAGCATTTTGAAGTATTGAATAGATGAAGTGAAAATATACTAAAAAATTCTGTAATTTGAAATGTTGTGTTTTTTTACTTGATAAACATCTTTATTCATTAAAAAAACTATTTTATAAACTAACTTTATGTTTAAAAGCGTCATGCCATGATTTATCATATTAACAATATGATGTGTAAAGGAAAGTAGAACACTTTCAGTGGTAGTTTATCTCAAAAAGTGTCCACCACAAAGCAAAAAAAAACATTTTAGAAGTGGTCAGAATGGCGCTCGTGTGTGATCCAATGATATATTACAGTTATCTAGATTGCTCATCCATATGCAAATCAGACGACACAAAGCGGGTTTCATTGGTGTATCTGAAGTTGATAGGCACCTTCTAGATCGTCAACCAGTCCACAGGTAATGTAGTTGCCACGAAGTGCTTCTCTAATATCAACCGGTGTTAGCCGAACACAAATCTAATAAATGAGAGCATCGGGTAATCGTATAGTAAAACTATTTTGGGTGCCAGGTCACAAAGGGATCGAAGGCAACGAAAAGGCTGACGAACTTGCAAAAAGAGGGTCAGAAGAAACATCGGAACCAGACACAAACCCAGGAGTACCAAAAAGTACAGTTCGGGGTTTTATAAATGACTGGATTCGGGAACAACATATCAACTATTGGGGAAGCACCCCAAAACAGGCACATGGATAAGCCTTCATAGACAGACTATGACCCAAAAGAACTGGAGAACTACTCTTAATAAATAGGAACCAGTTGAAAGTGATAACAGGGTTCATGACTGGGCACGCCCCAGTAAAGGGACACTTGAACAAAATTGGCATGTACAATGGGGAACTCATGTGCCGACTATGTCACAAGAAACCAGAAACGGCCAAACACATACTGTGCGAATGCGAAGCTCTAGATCGCAAAAGACAGGCTCTTTTTGGACAACCCCAGGTTGATCCAACAACGTATAGAACCCACTCACCCAAGGTTCTGTACAAACTTGTACAAGGTACAAAGGTGATAGAGTGGGTGCTATGAACTAACATGGGGTAAAACACAATAAGCCAATAGGCTTCAGTGTTATTCGGAGACACATAGTCACACGAGCCCAGGGAAAAAAATCGTATAGAATATGTTCGGTGGTATCATCCTTCTGCATAGTGCCATTAAATAGAGATATTTCCTTACCTGGCAATGACCAGTCAGAATACCTGTGATCAGATGTAGATTCTGTCTAGTCATATTCAAGTACTTGTTTGTTCTAGTGTTGTCTGTATAACTTAAAAACTCCCTGGCAACTCAACAGCTTCTTGTTTTGTTCCTTTTATCCATAAATTCCACAAGAAAATGTTCTTTAATTGAAGGGTGTTTGGTAAAAACAGGCTAAGTGCCATTTTTCATTATGTTTTTATTTTTGCTTAAAAAAATTCTAAGTACCATCAGCTATAACCTCAAAAAATGCTAAGTGCCAAGATTGCCGAATACAGTTGGAATCCTTTATTAAAGGTGGGGGAACCTACAAATCACAACTCGCGTCTAGACTTCACTTTGGCTCCCTGGCTTCCGCATGCGTAGATAGGTAATTCTAAATAAGGTTATGTTATGCTCTCATGCTACATTGTTTTTAATAATTTTAAGTTAAATAATTTTGTTTCGATTTTGTTTAATAGTCAATGGAAAATTGTGATTGCCCATACCGGTCCATAAATATGCAACAAGAAAACGAAGCAACGACTTATCGTAGGGTGGCCGCTTCGCCGCCACAAAAAAACATCAATCCATACCTGGCTACGCCGACCGGCATAGACTCCAACGGCCTGGACACAGCTCAAATTAAATTGAAAACGTAAACTTTTTCACATAATTTCTTGCGATTGCGCATACCAGTCCATACATATGCAACAAGAAAACGAAGCAACGACTTATCGCTAGATAGATAAGTCGTAGGGTAGCGGCTTCGCCGCCATTCAAAGATATCAACCCATACCTGGCAAGTTACTTTAGTTTCCTTATACAAATTTAAAACTGGCGCGCTTCTCTGCGCTCCACATGCACCATATTACGCATGCGGAAGCCGGGGAGCCAAAGTAAATTCGTGCCTCTAGACGCGAATCAAATCAAATGCCTATTTTCCGTACAAACAAACCAAGTGCCGTCGACCGAATTAAAACGTCTGCGTATGATTTTCAGTTAGTATTTGCTTGTTTACTTGTTAGTGAAGTGTTGATTAACGTTGTTTGATATGGAAAACAAAAGAAAAAGAGGCAGTGGCCGATATAGAGCTGAACAACGAAAATTGAAATTAGAGCACTTAAAATATCTATTCGTCCTAAGTGTCTGCATGGGATTTACCAGTAACAGTGAAACTTTTTTAGGTATGAAAAAGATGGGAGAACTTATTTGGCCTCAAGAACGCAATATTACTACTAAAAAATTTTTCAATTCTCTAATTATTTTTTTTAGCCAAACTGTTCTCGTATATCCAATGTGTATTAAATAATGATAGATCGGTCCAATAATTATATGCATGTAGAATAGGTAATATCTAGAATAAAAATAAGCACAAAAATATACATACATTTTGTTACTAGCGATTTTTAAAGCATTTGCTTCGTCTCTTCTATAAACAAAACCTTGCATCAAAAAGCATTCTTTGGCAATTGTACAATAAACTATACGTCCATAATTAACCAAAAAATACCGAATAAAAAAATATTTAAAATAAAAATTATTTGTTTTTGACTCCACTTAAATAAAAAAGATATTTTAGGGTATTAAATTACCTATCAAATAAGAATATAATCGTTAAAAATTGTCGAATACTTTTCCAGTTATAAGCAATAATTTTCTTAGGTTTTAAAGTAGATTTGCGTTCTTTGAATGGCAGTACTATCACTGACACACGATCCTCATAATATTACAAAATTATCACCCAAGTATCAGTAACGTTAAAATATCAATTGGTAAAGATTTACGGCGACATAACTCCATGTAATCCGTGCCTCGTCCTTTTTAATATTTTGACCACATTGTGACTTGGTTTTACTTTTAATTTCTAGATTGTATAATTTTGACCAATTACCCCCAGCGGTTGAGTTCTGTTCGCGAACGGTTTTGAAATTGTTTTAAAACGAAGTTTTAATGTTTTTGGTTTCCCACCGGCCGGTGTTCGTGGAAAGCATAAAATAGAGTTTGGAAGTGTGGACATACTTGGGAACAAGTTTTTCGTAAATGAAGTGGGAGTTTTAGTTTTAGCATTTCCTCAAAAAACAAATAAAACTAGTTAGTGTTGGATTTACTTCAACGAGACCGCCGGGGGTGTTTTCACTTGTACTATCTAATGTTGGAGTAATGGTTTTAAAATTATGAATAAAAATAATATAAGTTGTTAATTTGTGGGATTGTATTTAACATTTTAAAACCATAAATAGGTATACATTACTTCTCATAGTTTCGGTAGACAATTTGTAACAGGATTGTGCGCTATATACAGGGTGTTTCAAAAAGGTATGTCATAAATTCTTCCTCAGATAGACTACTAAAAAATAAGTCGATTTGGAAATATTTACCTATATCAAAAATTGGTTCCTAACAAAATTACAGGGGCGTTAAACTAACATTTGTATTCAAGAACATTTACTAAATTAAATAGTTTATAAAATATGTATAATAATTATTCAAGTCTTTATTTTTAATTGTTAATTTGTTGTTAATTGTTTAATTAAAAAATATTTTTTTTAATTACTATTAAATTTAATAAATACATTTCCGAACTAACGTGCATTTTTATCAGTGGCATGGTAAACCATTTTCATGGTGCCAATCCAATATTAAAAATACCTTTTTCACAAAAATATAAATAAAAGAAGTAGTTTTTGCAGGGGCGGCTCAAGCACAGCCCTAGACATACCACTGATTTTTATATGCGTTTTTTGTACAATAACTCCTGACCTGCTCTTAGTTTTGTTGATATGTTAAGTCCAGGACGGACGAATTGCTCTAGAAATTCAGTTAAAAAATTGTAAATGGCTCGTTAACTAAGAAAGATGCAAAGTTAATTTCGCTATAAAAAAAATTAAAAATATATAGTTCTTTTTGATTTTAAGATCAATAAAGCAAGTTTCTTTATGTCAAAAAAAATACAGGAGGGTTAAAACCCAACCCCCAGCTTTTTTTAAAGGGATCGTTTTAATTTTTTTTATCCTAGAATATTGGGCCTTCAAATCTACAGCACTGCCAAAAATTTCAGAGAAAAAATTCAACAGCAAACTTTTTACAAAAAAAAAAACGTTTTTCCGAATTTTAGTTTAACGCCCTGTAACTTTGTTGAAAGCCAGTTTTTGATATAGGTAAACATAACCAAATGCACTTATTTTTGGTAATCTATCTGAGGAAGAATTTATGATATAACTTTTTGAAACACCTTGTATAATATAATATTAACTTAAAAGTGTACCATGTACGAGGAAAGTAAAAAATTATGAATAAATAAAAAGTGTAGTATCTTTATTTAAAAAAATATAGAAAAAATTATATTTGAAAATCTTGTTCAGAGACAATATTAACCCCCCAAATTTGAAAATGTTAAACAATGTATAAATTTATATATTGTTTTAAAATAGGTTACCTTCCTACCACGGTACTTTTTCTCTTGAACCAAATACATAGTTTTCGACTTCTCTTGTACATTGTATTTTTTTTTCTAAGCTTTCAGTTAAAACAAGGTTTTAGTGAAGCACTAACTTTTATAAACCATTTTAATTCTCGAAAATCAATATTATAAAAGTTTTCCATATGACACACTGTTTATTGAATAAACTAAACAATAATTTCTGATAATGTTTAAACTACTAGTACAAATTAAATAGTTTGGTGTTTATCAAAACATTTGGTGATTAATTTCAATTAATTCAAATATCAGATTAACTTTTGGAGAAAGCAACTACCTAATGTGTTTGTCCAACCTTTTTTATTTTTAAGAATACACTTTTTTCGGATTAAGAATTGAATGATTAGAAACAAAGACAAATTAATATTTGGACATTGTTAAAACATAACTCAAAACATAAAAAATGAGAAATTAAATAATATTTAATAGAAGACTTTACAGTGAATAGAACTCATAAATTGAATTTTTATTTTACAGATTTAGATCAGGTACACTTTAAACGAAAAAAATTAGGAACTAAACTTTTTTATTTCCTCTTGTCTGGACTGGACAAACAAAAAAACAATTATAACATAATTATATTTATGTGAACAACCCGAATATCAGTCATTAGAACGAAAGAGTGAACTACAAAAAACTATTAAAAGTAGGCAATGTTCTACTAAAACAAAAATAAGACTAAATTAAATCAACTCCGATATACAGGTTGTCCCGAAATTAGATGGTCAGATTTTAACAGCGTAATCTACATCGTAAAATAGCAGTAAAAGTTTATGTAAACATAGGTCCAAAAAACGTTTTTTTCCGAGATACGGGGTGTTAAAAGTGAAGTCCTGATGTCACACTTTTGTAAATATTTTCTAAACGTTTAAAGACAATTAAGTAAAATTTGGTACAAATACTTACCTTTTTACGCTCTATTTAATGGGACCTTCATAGGCTTAGGGTAAAATTGCCCTAAGTTTTTTTTTTTTGTTGACAGTTTTTTAACATTTTTGAATATAACATTCGGAGAACCAATGTTTTCTTTATAATAAAGCTACATTTGTTGCATCTCGTGCGGACGCACCATTTTCAAGAGAAAATCATTTGAAAATTTCATGATAAGTTGATGTTTTCTTATTCGAAAGTGTAAACAATAATTAATACGTCTGTGGAATCAAAAATTTAATTTTTTTTTAACTTTGGAAAACCGGCAACTAAAGAAATTTTAGAAAATATTAATAAAAATGTGCCATCAGGACTTCACTTGTAACACCTTGTATCTCGAAAACGAAACGTTTTCGACACGCTACGTTTATATAAACTTTTACTCCTATTTTAGGATGTAGATTACGCTGTTAAAATATGACCGTCTAATTTTGGGACACCCTGTATAAGCGGAAGAAGAAGGAGAAATAATTGTATGTTCCACTATGAATTTTTCCAAGGCCTGCTTTAGAAACATTTTTTATGGATCACTTCAGATATTTAGGAAATGTCGTGTAGTCCTAATAGTTTGTAAAATAATAAATTGTAAACTATCGGTAACTTCTTTTCAAACCCATATAAAAACTTTAAAAGTACAATAAATTAAAAAGCATTTATTAAAAGTGTTACATACCTTAAACCTTCCAGTTTTGCCAGCTGGGCTATTAGGAACAACATTTTTTATAAAAATACCCAAAAGGGTTTCGGAAGACTTTTTATTTGATTGTAAGTCGACCTGAAAATAAAATTAATCTAAATTACTCATAATAAGAGAAATCTATTTTCTAAGTCAAGTTTTAAAAATGGAACATGAGTAAGAAACGTTAATTAGAAGCAAAAACTACAAATGCTTCGTATAGCCGAAAGTAACAATAATTTTCTGTTTCATACATGAATCACCCTGTATATATTTAAAAATAATTTATTCCAGTTTCACGCTCCGATTTCACGTCCATAAGTTTTTAATCAGTATTGACAAATCAGTTTGTCAAATATACAGTGTGTCTACTTAAGTTGGAACCATATGGAAAACATTTTTATTATTGATTTTAGGAAAAAAAGTTATTCTTGATAAAAAGTCCTGCATGACCCAAAACCTAAAATACAGTCATCACATATCAAATTTTTCAAGCCGTATACGAGGTTTGTCAAAAAATATGAATTTTGCTCAAGAGTGAAGTACGTTTATTTTTGACAAAATCGAAAATTTTCATTAAGAAAAGTTGATAGGAATTGAATATTAAATATTACATTCAAATATGCAATTACACCGATCTATCTGAAAAAACAGATTTTCTTATTTTTTATAAACTTTACACTCGACACATTGATTATAAATATCTGAAAACGTTATAAATTACGTTAGCTACAATAAACATGATACGCTTTCCTTTTGTTGATGTTTATGAAGAATTTAGCAAATTTCTTAATGAAAATTTTCAATTTTGTAAAAAAATAAACGTACAAAATTCATATTTTTTGACAAACCTCGTATACGGCTTGAAAAATTGATATCTGATGACTGTATTTTAGGTTTTGGGTCATGCAGGACTTTTTATCAAGAATAACTTTTTTTCCTAAAATCAATAATAAAAATGTTTTCCATGTTTCCAACTTAACGCTTAATCACATAAACTATGTACTGGATTTGGACTTAATAGTAAAATAGCGTTCGTATGTGCAAGAAAGGAAAAGATGTGATATCAACGTTGCCAGGCGCCAGTTGATAGCTCGGTAACTCGACCTGGAAATAATACTGTGCCGTTTGTCTATTCACTCCATCACAAGCGAAACAGAGCCGAAGGTCTGATCAAGTTTTGTGTATTAACGATGCATAGTCTGCAGATGAAAACAATCTGCATGCTTGTACCTAGCTCACTGAACTTTAAAACTTTCAGTTCAACATCTATAAATAGTGACCAACTGGAGACTAAAATACATGGTCTAATTTAACTACTCTTAAAAACAATCCTCCATACTCAAAACAAACAGCACAAAACTATTATCATGAGCTTACGAAAAATTAGGTTGAATCAGATGAGTATGTCGTGGGTAATACCAACTACCACCTTAAAAAAGTAAGTTTGAGATTTCTCTATAGAATAAGTATATAAGACCTAATTAATGCTCTTAAAACTCTCCCAATTATTCATATCCTATCCAGACCTCTCTTCCTTCATGAGTTTCAATATTATTTTGATCATTTCGTATTAAATCTGATCTAACCTGCAGCTTTTGTTTTATTGTATTCCCATTATTAGGTTCCCTAGTTTATTATACTGATTCCTAAATTGCGTAAGATTATCAGGATCCTTTGAACTAACTTATTCCGTTACTTGGTATCTATAATACTATTAATGTTCAGCATTCTTCATAATAAGACGTGTTCTACTGTTATCTATGGAATCCGCATATCCTAGATGGGTTGGCTTACTAGATCGTCATAATTAGTAAATGGTTACTGTTTAGTTTTAGCAGGTGATACATGGTTGCTTGTTTTTTAGGTTGTGCTATTCAACGATTCGTTTGTTGAGTAATGTATGCATTATTTTAGTTAGTAACAAAGAGTTGATTATGGTATTTCACGTACTAATTTAATGCCTTATCCTACATGAATTATATCTGAGCGTCTTACTAAAGGTTACCTTATTATGTCTTAGATGTCTTAGACTATTCACTTCCCTTTTTTTACGAAAAACTGTATGATGAAATGATTCTCAAGTTCAATATTTCATTGGAATCTATTCTTTCCAGACGGTTTAATTGCTCTTAGGTTTTAAGAATCCACTTTTTCAGAGTAAAAGTAAATGCGTGCTTTTCGAAAAGGTTCCAATTCTATTGAGGCCTCACTAATATCTTATGGAGAGAAGGACAGAATGGCTTTATCTGGGCCTCTACAATCAAGGGCAGGGGTAAGAAGCTCACCAAATGGCTACTTCCAAAAATTGGGCATCTAGAGACACCTTTTGATGAGGTTATTAATCTAAAGGACTTTGTCCTGAGAGACTGGCTATCTCTAGATACCTCCAGCGACAACCAGCAGGTTTTTGAAAAGTTGATTACCTGCAGGACTTTGATAAGCTGGAATATGGCTGTTTCTAGACTCCTTTCAGGAACAACCAGCCGGTTTTTGGCAGGTCCTATATGCTCCTAGACGATGCACAATGGACCTTATGAGGCTTGTGCTATTGATCAACCCGCCACCCCCACCTTTTAGATACAGATCTTATGGTATCAAAAAATCTGCATTTAAGTACATGGGTCTCTTGGACATGAGTCGTGTGCATTGACATATTTAATATAACTCATTGTGGTTTCAAAATATTGGTTAAATAATTTAAAATCAATAATATTTTGATTAGGTTTTTGAAATTTTGGTAGATAAATTGTCACGATATTTGGCACCAAATATAGCTATTTAAAATTGTTAAAATTGGTAATAAAACGTCGGGCAAATACGTTATAGTATGAAAGTAAATTTTTTTAATATGTTCAACCAGATGACATTATAATCTTAAATCTAATTTCATAAGACTTTTGGTGGTATCGAAAAGTGTTCTCAGAAAAAAAATTTCTTTATAAAAGTTAGTACATTACCTCAAACTCACTACAAACTGAATACATATTATTTTGAACCATATACGAGGAAGGTAAAACAAATATGAACCTAGCTCAAAAGAGCTCACGGCAAATTGTTACTTGAGAAACTTATTTAAAATCATTATTTTTTAGCCGATATTAAAAATTACAACCACCATCCAGAAAAAAATTTTTTCTGAGAAATAAACAATCAAAAAATTTTCTATAAAGTGTAAGACGTTTTTCCACACACTATATACAAAAATATACTTTACAATATACGATTTTTTTATTTCCTATTGACTTACTTAACTGATATTCTTACTAGGACTTATATGCATGAATGACGCTTTTCCACTCGCAGTCACGCCTGGCCTTTTACTGTTAGACCCGTTGGATGTGTCAGGCTGTTCACATTTGGTGATAAGTAATGATTTTAAACAAGTTTTTCTACAACAATTTTTTTCTGTTTCAAAAATATAAGGGTTCTTTAGTGTCTCCTATATGATTGAAATTTTTTAATATGTATTAAGTTTGTAGTGGGTTTTATCGAAAATAAAATTTTCTGAGAAATTAACAATAAAAAAGTTTTCTAGAAAATACAGAGCATACATTTTTCGACACCTTAAAAGCATCTGGCAGACGTAACCCCCCACGAAAAGTGTCAGGCAATTGTTAATTGGAAATTATAATGTCATCCAGTCGAACATATTAAAAATCAACTTTTACACTATTACATTTTTGCCAGACATTTTTGGTATTTTGAAGACCAGTTATCTACCGACTTCTCTGTAGGCAAGATTCGTAACACCCAAAAGTTATTACTATAACGTAGACCGGTCACTGGCTCTTAGTCTATGACTGGATAGATTAAATTAATAACTAATTATTAAAAATCAGAGGTAAGAATGTGAGATTGTGTGTGTAGTTTATTTTACTGTATCCTGTGAATCACCCTAATTCTTGATACATTTTGAAATGGAAAATTTCCAATTACTTTAAACCATTATTTTTTTTTTATCTTGTATTCGAACAAAGTTATGACAATTCTCTATTGAAATTAATTTTGACTATTTTATGAACATAGCTTTCCTTTTCAATTCTTTTGAAATAGATCAAACTTAATATTCATATTTGGTGTTTAAAATTTTTTGATATGTATGCCAATTAGGTACTTACCTTTCCTCCAACTATATTGATGCCCAAACTTTTGTTGGGCTCTCTGAACACTTTAACAGTTTGGACTGAACCCCAATGTTTTTGCAACATTTCCTCAACTTGGCATCCTCTCACATCATTTTCAATAGGACGTATTACTGTCATTTCACTGAAACAAAAAAATATGGTCAAAAGACTAAATAACATTTTTTATTAGAATTCAAATAAAAGTATGTTTACACTTTTTTATACAAAAACCTTCTATAGGTCTGAAGAAGTAAAGGTCTTTAATTTTATTTTAATATCTTCGTAATATTTAACTAGAATCCCTTTATTGTAACTATAATTTTAAATTTGAGTTAGATATCAATTATCTTTTCCTGCCTTCCTATTTATTTTAGTAAATCTAAACATTTTGGGTAAACGGCAATTTTTTATTTTATTGAAAAGTTTTAAACCTGAATTTAAATTTGAGTTTTTGAAGTGGGGGTACTGTAAATCGGTCGCCATCTTAAAAATAAGGGTGTAATCAGTATTGTAAGATAATTATGAAAACTGTAACTGCCTAGAAAAACTGTACAGAAATGTATGGAAAATTGACCCACCTCCAATAAAGAATAGTTATATAGCAATTGAGAGATTTTTTTAAGAAGACCATTTCTTTTCATTAAGGTTAAGTTAGTTAACTGGAACCTAGAGGTAACTGGGTCCTATACTTCTGATTTTGTAATCCAATATTTTAAACTTCCCGCGCTTTGTAACATGACAGCCATCATCCCAAAGCTTCCGTTACATCAAGTTTTTAAATTCTTGCTGTGAGTATCGTAACGAAAATATTTATGTTAAAGTATTTTTTTGGTAGAAGGAATAACAACGTTGGGGACTGACGTATTAAAAAAAATCGCAGTAAGTACAATAATACATTTTTTAACATGATAATCAGCCTGGTAATGTTAAATAAAAAATATTAGATTATGACTAAAATTTATTTTTTTTTCTAATAGTTGAAGTCCTTATTTATCTAATGTTGAACTTTTAACTATACCTTACCGTGCAAATTTTTGAGAATTTTTTTTTATGTATTTGTGCAGTGTCTTATGAGAAAATAAGACCTCAACAACAATTCTCGAATTATATTATTATTTATTGATTAGATGGAGTAGAAAAAAACTAAAAATAGGGTTTTTGAAATATTTAGGTTTTGTTTTTTACAATAAAATATATAGGTTACCTTGGAATTTATTGAGAAATTATTATTAAAAAAAAATTGAAGTAACCTAGTTGAAAATTTTTTGTGATTTTTTAATATTAATTTCTCAATAAATTCCACGGTAACCTATATATTTTATTGTAAAAAACAAAAACCTAAATATTTCAAAAACCTTATTTTTAGTTTTTTTTCTACTCCATCTAATCAATAAATAATAGTAAAATTTAATTATAATTCGAAAATTGTTGTTGAAGTCTTACTTTCTCGTAAGACACAGTACAAACACACACATTTTTAAAAAAAAAATAAAGAGCATGAAAGCGACATGGGATAAAAATCTTTGTAAATGGCAAAGGCTCAACCCAAGAAGAAAAATTCCCAAAACTGAATTCACGCATCTTCTTGACAAGACATTTTTGGAAATGCCTAAACAGAACATAATAAATGGGTTTCAAGCAACAGGTATCTATAATTGAGATACAGGTAAACCAAATCGAACAAACGTTCCTGAAACAATATTTTTCACAGCAAGATCTTGTAAAATATAACCACCACGGTAAACAAAACGAGGTGATTATTGGAACGAAAGAGCAAGAAATTAATTAAAATGAAGAAAATGGAACAATTCATCAAATGGAAGATTTAGTTAACAAAGAACAGCAAATATGAGCTACAAGGTAAAAAGGAGTTGATGCCTGAAGACAAACCTGGGCTTTTAAACACTCAAAGCAATATTTGTCTGAATCCCTTTGAAAGTCTGGTGGTGTTTTTTAATATGGCTACAGAGGCGCACGTACTTAATCTCTACCCAAATGTACTTATTTTCTTTGTATTAAAAATAAAAATTACCTTTTAAAGTGAGGTACTACAAAACCCTTATGTTTTTTGGTGTTTATCTTATATTTTTTATATGAAAATAATATTTGTGAATGAAAACAATATATCTTTCAGTGATATTTTACGGGAAATAAATTATGTTTTTGTACAACTTGTCATTTTTTAATTTCTGCAAGTAGTTTGCTGCAAAACAGTGTATGCAAGTAAATATTAAATCTGTGTCCCTTTGAAGCTAGATTTTTAATATTATATTTCTTTAAATCTCCAGAATTTGCCACTTTAACAGAATTATTTCCTCAATTGTTTTTAGCGAAAAATAAACTTTTAAAAGTATCTAGAGAGGAACAAATTTTGAAACTAAAAAGTACTGCAAGTCACTATACTGAGTATTGCCCATGTAAAAAAATATCAAACTCTTTAATTTGAAATACTGGACAATCTTCCCAAAAATGTTTGCAACATTTTTGTAATGTTAATTTATATGGAAGGATCCATACATTTTTTTTTCTAAAACATTGGAACAATTCACGCATGTGGGAACGTACAATTCTTCGTCTTTTTAAGTGTAAGTTTGAATTTATTTCAAAGTCGTGCGCATGGGCGTCGTTAGGGGGGACAAGGGGGGCAGTTGCCCCCTGGCTTTTACGACTTTACAACGCGTAATGGCTGTATGTCACATTACTAAATTAAGTACTTAAAATTAGGCCTAAATTAAGTTATTAATTTAGTACTAAATTTTAAACTCTAAATATTTTTTCCTTTTGCAACGATACCAATTTTTAGTACTAAATTCAGTATAGGCGCACGCGCATTGACGCATTATTACGTAAAATTAGCCCAGAAATGAAACATTCTGTGTAAGTGAGACAAGTGAATTAAAAGATGTTTTTATTATGACCTTGACACTAGTTGGCTACGTTCAGTAGAAAAAAATCTGATCAGGATCTGTTTTCGATCAATTTGCAACAGTTTTTATAGTCTACTGAACAGTATTTTTTGCGCTTTGAGCAAGAAACTGTATTGACTGACATTTGACATTTATTAAAGTCATGTAACTAACCTCCAAACTCTAAATTTATGATTTTATATTTAATCCATTTTATCAGTGGATCGTGTATAATAGCAAAAGGAACTATTGTAAAGAAAGCATGAGTGACACAATGGAATACAATATTTTAATGGTCACCTTTTACGATGATATCAATTTAAATATTATTGTATAATTGACAAAAACTCTATTTATTACTAGATGCTTTTCTTTAGCAGTCACCTGAACTTTGAAAGTTTGATCGAGATCTAGGTCAAATAACCCTAGAATTTCTATGTTTTAAATTGGCACCCTCGTCTTAAGTATATTTCTAAGTTATTCTTAAGCTCAAAAACAGAATACGCAACATGTTTACTAGAAAGGTAGCATAAATTAAATACGCTCCAAAAAATGGCGACTGATCCGACAACTGTTATGCGCAACGTTGAGAAAAGTTGTTGTTCAGCAGAAAATAAGTAAACTGTTTCGTCTGCTAAACGAAGCCGTTGATTTGACAATAACCAAATGCAGCAATGCTACTAAAAACCACGAAAAAACAAAATAAAACCTACAAAATCAAACAGAAGCGAAATTTGTCCAAGGCGATAATGCAAAGTTGTCGCTAACCAAAAACAAAATGGCGCATAAAAGACCGTTGTGTCAACTTTTTCTGAGAAAAAACTTCTACGCAACTTTTCAACGCATTTTTAATAATAAATTTAGTAGAAAATAGAACAAATTCCAATTAATTAATTTTTTTAGTACTTAATTTAATACTAAATTTGCTGTTTGCACCGTGAATTTTTTTTAGTACTTAAAAAATGCATTAATTTAGTTCTAAATTTAGAACTTAATTTAGTATCGTAACATACAGCATTCATATATAATTTACTGATATTTCGTTAGGTATGTACTATGTGCCACAGTTTGACAACGCTGTATACAGTAAAATTACATAACTAACACAATTACACAACTGGCACTGGCTCATATTGTCGATTATGCAGGCATAACAATAAACACAAGGCATAATATGTTAGGTAGCCTTTAAATTGATTGAATTGTTTAAGGAAATAGAAGAAATAGGTAAACATGACAGGTGTAGAAATCTAAATGCCACGAATTACGGACAACAATCTCATAAATATAATATTCAGGCAAATACAGTTGACGAGTATTAAAGGTTGAATATATTTATTCCATATCCATATCTTACACGTACCTATACATTTTACTTTTTTTTTAAAGTAGGTAATGGTAAAATACCCGTATCTATTACAGTTGGCAACTCTTGTCTGAATTAGTTACTTTTGTTTTATAAAGATGACTACCTGCATTGTCGTCTGTCAATGGAAATGTCAATGTAAGTACTTCCGGTAAATAAACCAACGAATGTGCGCACCTAACCTGAGTTGCTATTTTAATTTTAGTATTGTTTGTTCAAATAGTTATTCGTTAATAAAAACCTTTTACCAAACTATTTCCACATTATTTTCTCTAACATATAAAAACAAAAAGCAATAGCAGTTGCTGTGTTGTAAATTGTAAAAATACTAACAGAAAAAACAGTGTAAATTATATAAATTTTCAGTAGCAAATTGGAAATTAAATCAAAGAAATAAATGGATAGCTGTACAATAAGAAAAAACCTTAATTTTTGTAATAATAACAGTAACACTGGAAATAGTAGACATCAGAATATTGAAAGGTTTTAAATAAACAATAAATTATTATTTTACAATGTTGTGACTTATTGATAGGAAACCAATTTTATTAATTAACTTCTATGGGTTCTTGTGAATTAAAAATAAAGAAAATGTACAAATTATTTTTGTTAATACGTTATGTTTTTATTTTCACATTATTTAACCTATCCTTCATATCATACCTTTTTTTAACTGAAGTAATAAAAATTTATAACAATAATTTAATTTTTCATTTGTTTTACAAATCCATATACTTTTATTAAAATCAACATATATATTTTTTAATTAGAAATTCCATTAAAAATTGTATTGTCAGTATACGCAACTATCGTCCGTTAGTTCATGACTTAGTTGGCGCTGCTGTCACGCACAAAGCGAATAAGGA